TGTCTCATGATCTCATCAGTAGATTGTTCAGTTATGAGAATCTATGTCTCATGATCTCATCAGTAGAGTGTTCAGTTATGAGAATCTATGTCTCATGATCTCATCAGTAGATTGTTCAGTTATGAGAATCTATGTCTCATGATCTCATCAGTAGAGTGTTCAGTTATGAGAATCTATGTCTCATGATCTCATCAGTAGAGTGTTCAGTTATGAGAATCTATGTCTCATGATCTCATGAGATTGTTCAGTAATGAGAATCTTTGTCTCATGATCTCATCAGTAGATTGTTCAGTTATGAGAATCTATGTCTCATGATCTCATCAGTAGAGTGTTCAGTAATGAGAATCTTTGTCTCATGATCTCATCAGTAGATTGTTCAGTATGAGAATCTATGTCTCATGATCTCATCAGTAGATTGTTCAGTAATGAGAATCTTTGTCTCATGATCTCATCAGTAGAGTGTTCAGTAATGAGAATCTTTGTCTCATGATCTCATCAGTAGATTGTTCAGTTATGAGAATCTATGTCTCATGATCTCATCAGTAGATTGTTCAGTAATGAGAATCTTTGTCTCATGATCTCATCAGTAGATTGTTCAGTAATGAGAATCTTTGTCTCATGATCTCATCAGTAGATTGTTCAGATCTCATCAGAATTGTTGTCTCATGATCATGATCTCATCAGTAGATTGTTCAGTAATGAGAATCTTTGTCTCATGATCTCATCAGTAGATTGTTCAGTAATGAGAATCTTTGTCTCATGATCTCATCAGTAGATTGTTCAGTAATGAGAATCTTTGTCTCATGATCTCATCAGTAGATTGTTCAGTAATGAGAATCTTTGTCTCATGATCTCATCAGTAGATTGTTCAGCTAATGAGAATGATGAATCTCAGTAATGAGAATCTGTCTCATGATCTCATCAGTAGATTGTTCAGTAATGAGAATCTTTGTCTCATGATCTCATCAGTAGATTGTTCAGTTAATGAGAATCTTTGTCTCATGATCTCATCAGTAGATTGTTCAGTAATGAGAATCTTTGTCTCATGATCTCATCAGTAGATTGTTCAGTAATGAGAATCTTTGTCTCATGATCTCATCAGTAGATTGTCTTCAGTTATGAGAATCTATGTCTCATGATCTCATCAGCAGATTGTTCAGTAATGAGAATCTTTGTCTCATGATCTCATCAGTAGATTGTTCAGTAATGAGAATCTTTGTCTCATGATCTCATCAGTAGATTGTTCAGTAATGAGAATCTTTGTCTCATGATCTCATCAGTAGATTGTTCAGTAATGAGAATCTTTGTCTCATGATCTCATCAGTAGATTGTTCAGTAATGAGAATCTTTGTCTCATGATCTCATCAGTAGATTGTTCAGTAATGAGAATCTTTGTCTCATGATCTCATCAGTAGATTGTTCAGTAATGAGAATCTTTGTCTCATGATCTCATCAGTAGATTGTTCAGTAATGAGAATCTTTGTCTCATGATCTCATCAGTAGATCTCATGTTCAGTAATGAGAATCTTTGTCTCATGATCTCATCAGTAGATTGTTCAGTAATGAGAATCTTTGTCTCATGATCTCATCAGTAGATTGTTCAGTAATGAGAATCTATGTCTCATGATCTCATCAGTAGATTGTTCAGTAATGAGAATCTTTGTCTCATGATCTCATCAGTAGATTGTTCAGTAATGAGAATCTTTGTCTCATGATCTCATCAGTAGATTGTTCAGTAATGAGAATCTTTGTCTCATGATCTCATCAGTAGATTGTTCAGTAATGAGAATCTTTGTCTCATGATCTCATCAGTAGATTGTTCAGTAATGAGAATCTTTGTCTCATGATCTCATCAGTAGATTGTCAGATTGTTCAGTAATGAGAATCTTTGTCTCATGATCTCATCAGTAGATTGTTCAGTAATGAGAATCTTTGTCTCATGATCTCATCTCATCAATGAGATTGTTCAGTAATGAGAATCTTTGTCTCATGATCTCATCAGTAGATTGTTCAGTAATGAGAATCTTTGTCTCATGATCTCATCAGTAGATTGTTCAGTAATAGTAATGAGAATCTTTGTCTCATGATCTCATCAGTAGATTGTTCAGTAATGAGAATCTTTGTCTCATGATCTCATCAGTAGATTGTTCAGTAATGAGAATCTTTGTCTCATGATCTCATCAGATTGTTCAGTAATGAGAATCTTTGTCTCATGATCTCATCAGTAGATTGTTCAGTAATGAGAATCTTTGTCTCATGATCTCATCAGTAGATTGTTCAGTAATGAGAATCTATGTCTCATGATCTCATCAGTAGATTGTTCAGTAATGAGAATCTTTGTCTCATGATCTCATCAGTAGATTGTTCAGTAATGAGAATCTTTGTCTCATGATCTCATCAGTAGATTGTTCAGTAATGAGAATCTTTGTCTCATGATCTCATCAGTAGATTGTTCAGTAATGAGAATCTTTGTCTCATGATCTCATCAGTAGATTGTTCAGTAATGAGAATCTTTGTCTCATGATCTCATCAGTAGATTGTTCAGTAATGAGAATCTTTGTCTCATGATCTCATCAGTAGATTGTTCAGTAATGAGAATCTATGTCTCATGATCTCATCAGTAGATTGTTCAGTAATGAGAATCTTTGTCTCATGATCTCATCAGTAGATTGTTCAGTAATGAGAATCTTTGTCTCATGATCTCATCAGTAGATTGTTCAGTAATGAGAATCTTTGTCTCATGATCTCATCAGTAGATTGTTCAGTAATGAGAATCTTTGTCTCATGATCTCATCAGTAGATTGTTCAGTAATGAGAATCTTTGTCTCATGATCTCATCAGTAGATTGTTCAGTAATGAGAATCTTTGTCTCATGATCTCATCAGTAGATTGTTCAGTAATGAGAATCTTTGTCTCATGATCTCATCAGTAGATTGTTCAGTAGATCTTTGATGAGAATCTTTGTCTCATGATCTCATCAGTAGATTGTTCAGTAATGAGAATCTTTGTCTCATGATCTCATCAGTAGATTGTTCAGTAATGAGAATCTTTGTCTCATGATCTCATCAGTAGATTGTTCAGTAATGAGAATCTTTGTCTCATGATCTCATCAGTAGATTGTTCAGTAATGAGAATCTTTGTCTCATGATCTCATCAGTAGATTGTTCAGTCATGAGAATCTTTGTCTCATGATCTCATCAGTAGATTGTTCAGTAATGAGAACCTTTGTCTCATGATCTCATCAGCAGATTGTTCAGTAATGAGAACTTTTGTCTCATGATGTCATCAGTAGATTGTTTAGTAATGAGAACTTTGGTCTCATGATAAGCACCTTTGTCTCATGATCTCATCAGCAGATTGTTCAGTAATGAGAACTTTTGTCTCATGATGTCATCAGCAGATTGTTCAGTAATGAGATCCTTGTCTCATGATGTGCGTGTGTTAGTGTGTGTGTGTGTGGTGTTTTCATATGTGTGTTTGTATGTGGGGAGGAGGGTGGGGTGTCTGTGGTACGTTGGTGTCCTGTATTGGTACCTTATCTAACATTTTGTTCTCAGTGATGTTACAGACAATCCACAACTTTGTTGCACCGTTTGAGGCAAAGCTGGACATGCCACATCGCACCAACACCACACACGATACACCGGCTCACCCAAGTTGTTCACTATCGATGGGGAAACTAATTGATATGCAGCTAGCTTGTGATGGAAACAATCCAATTATATAAGTTGGTAGGAAGCCAATCCATGTCACACGCCAGACCACACTGTATCTGGTCTCAGTTGGTTTCTGATGCAATGAAGAGTGGGTGAGGGGGGGAGGGAGGTGTTAATAACGCTGTACAATTTTGGGGAAATGGCTGGCGTAGCTGTCAGGGCGTGGTGGTTAGCTGTTTGGTGTAGCTGTCAGGGTGTGGTGGTTAGCTGTCTGTGTAGCTGTCAGGGCGTGGTGGTCAGCTGTTTGGTGTAGCTGTCAGGGTGTGGTGGTTAGCTGTTTGGTGTAGCTGTCAGGGTGTGGTGGTTAGCTGTCTGTGTAGCTGTCAGGGCGTGGTGGTTAGCTGTCTGGTGTAGCTGCCAAGGCGTGGTGGTTAGCTGTCTGGTGTAGCTGTCTGGACGTGGTGGTTAGCTGTCTGGTGTAGCTGTCAGGCGTGGTGGTTAGCTGTCTGGTGTAGCTGTCAGGGCGTGGTGGTTAGCTGTCTGGTGTAGCTGCCAGGGCGTGGTGGTTAGCTGTCTGGTGTAGCTGCCAGGGCGTGGCGGTTAGCTGTCTGGTGTAGCTGTCAGGGCGTGGTGGTTAGCTGTCTGGTGTAGCTGTCAGGGCGTGGTGGTTAGCTGTCTGGTGTAGCTGTCAAGGCGTGGTGGTTAGCTGTCTGGTGTAGCTGTCTGGACGTGGTGGTTAGCTGTCTGTGTAGCTGTCAGGGCGTGGTGGTTAGCTGTCTAGTGTAGCTGTCAAGGCGTGGTGGTTAGCTGTCTGGTGTAGCTGTCTGGACGTGGTGGTTAGCTGTCTGGTGTCGCTGTCAAGGCGTGGCGGTCAGCTGTCTGGTGTAGCTGTCAGGGCGTGGTGGTTAGCTGTCTGGTGTAGCTGTCTGGGCGTGGTGGTTAGCTGTCTGGTGTAGCTGTCTGGGCGTGGTGGTTACCTGTCTAGTGTAGCTGCCAGGGCGTGGCGGTAGCTGTCTGGTGTAGCTGTCTGGGCGTGGCGGTAGCTGTGTAGCTGTCAGGGCGTGGCGGTAGCTGTCTGGTGTAACTACCAGGTTAGCTATTCTGAGGCCCACCTATGCTTGGTATAAGTGGTATTTCAGTTTTTACGTTTAAGTATGTTGAAAATGTAATCCACGTTTTTTGTGCCGGAAAACTTTTGCGGAACGTGATAGATACATGATCAGGCGTGTACATGATCAGAGCCGGGACTCGTGTACAATAATCAGGTTGATGCATTGATCAATACAATTTAATCTTTGATGAAAAAGACCCCCGCTCCATGTGTTGAACTTAAGTAGTACTAACCTGAACGGCCGTGGAGAGAGGAGAGAAGACACAGATAAGTAGCAGGACGCAGTCGATTAGCCTGGAACAGAGAATCAGCCATATTAAAAACAGGAATATAACACAGAACTGAATGAAAGACACGATAACACCAGGGATCGTTAACCATGTCATCTTTTGCCATCTTCATTCGTGGCGGTCAATTTATGTCAGTTGTTATTTTGTACACGCTACTACCGTTGACGGATTCATTACATTCATGAAATCATACACGATTACGTCATCAATGACGATAGAACGCCCTTATTAATGTAAGCGTCAGTGTGATAGCCCAGTGGTTAAAGCATATGCCAGTAACACGAGATACCAAGTTCTATTCCCCACATAAAAACAACGTCGTAAGCCCATGTATGGTGTGCTGTCGTGGTAGTGCCTGAAAAATTAGACCACCCTGTCACCCGTGGCGCCTCAGCTGCCGAAGAGTGTGGTAACTATAGAGTTTTAATTACGACGACTGGCACGTCACTGTAGTAACGATATGCCGCTCTTTCGTGCATGCTCCTATTTCACCTCTTCACACATGTGTACAAGCATCGATCACAATCAAGCCCTATCTAGCTAACACTTGGCCATGTAAAGTTGTATATTGGCCCTGATTAGAATTTCAGTGTTTACACACGCGTTAGGACGTTTAGATAATAATTTACATGCAGTTACATGGAGTAAATATGATTCTGTTCAATTACATGTGAACCTCAAAGTCTCTCGGCAGAAACCAAAACACCATGTTTTCTGTTGGCATCTGATTTATTAGCCGATGCTGTTTGATTTCAAACGGACTCGAGGTTTGTTTTTTCTTGGTTCTTAAACACACAGACGCGTTATTTACTTTCGGATTTTATCTTATTGACACACGATCACTGCTTTAGACATGTAGAGCCTGTGCTAAACTACAACACAGAGACGTGAACTAGATTGTGAACACTTGATAAAAATTTCCAAATGCTTAGCTTTGATAGAAATGTATCGAAAATACAAGGTTGTTATTGAAGGCGATAACACTAGAAGAACAATGACTATTTGTCTGTGTAATCGTACATCAGAAAACATTGTTGATTTGTTATACCGTCAATATGCGGCTGACTACCACTACCCTGTACAGTGTACACTCCCCATCTATTTCACTCCGGCATGTTGGTTGTGCTTCTTAGATTGCATATCGCCAGCTGATTTGAGCGATACCACCCTTGTACTATTGTACAACGCACGCAGATGCTATTAGCTAGATATATCTATTTACAAGGCACTTGAGCAGTATATGTCCTAGCGCACAGTCAACATGCATTCTGTGGCTGCATGGGACATTGAAGTGCAAGTATTCCAGTGTCGCTCTTCACACTGTTCCACAGTATGCTGGCAATGCTTACAAGGTGACATACTTTGACCCTTACCATTAATCTACATTCCTTGCGAGTGGGAAGTTTGTACCGAGAAGGGCTTGTATTACGGGAGCATAATACTAATACAAAGTCTCTAGTGCAAGGAGCCTACCCGTCGATATTGTCGAGACATGCTTTCACAGGACCTCTGACCTCTCTTAAACTCATGTTGGTGGGAACTGACATTTATCATCATTCAGGGTAGGCATGGACATGTTCTTACTCCTCATTCGGGGTAGGCATGGAAATGTTCTTACTCCTCCATTCGGGGTAGGTAGGGAAATGATCTTACTCCTCATTCTGGGTAGGCATGGACATGTTCTTAATCCTCATTTGGGGTAGGTAGGGAAATGTTCTTACTCCTCATTCGGGGTAGGCATGGACATGTTCTTACTCCTCATTCGGGGTAGGTAGGGAAATGATCTTACTCCTCATTCTGGGTAGGCATGGAAATGTTCTTACTCCTCATTCGGGGTAGGTAGGGAAATGATCTTACTCCTCATTTGGGGTAGGTAGGGAAATGATCTTAATCCTCATTCGGGGTAGGCATGGACATGTTCTTACTCCTCATTCGGGGTAGGAAGGGAAATGATCTTACTCCTCATTCGGGGTAGGCATGGAAATGTTCTTACTCCTCATTCGGGGTAGGTAGGGAAATGATCTTACTCCTCATTCGGGGTAGGCATGGACATGTTCTTACTCCTCATTCGGGGTAGGCATGGACATGTTCTTACTCCTCCTTCGGGGTAGGTAGGGAAATGATCTTACTCCTTATTCGGGGTAGGCATGGAAATGTTCTTACTCCTCATTCGGGGTAGGTTAGGACATATTCTTACTCCTCCTTCGGGGTAGGTAGGGAAATGATCTTACTCCTCATTCGGGGTAGGCATGGACATGTTCTTACTCCTCATTCGGGGTAGACATGGAAATATTCTTACTCCTCATCCGGGGTAGGTAGGGAAATGATCTTACTCCTCATTCAGGGTAGGCATGGACATGTTCTTACTCCTCATTCGGGGTAGGCATGGAAATATTCTTACTCCTCATTCGGGGTAGGTAGGGAAATGATCTTACTCCTCATTCGGGGTAGGTATGGAAATGTTCTTACTCCTTATTCGGGGTAGATAGTGAAATATTCTTACTCCTCATTTGGGGTAGGAAAATATTCTTACTCCTCATTCGGGATGGGTAGAGACATATTCTCACTCCTCATTCGGGGTAGTTAGGGAAATTCTTTTACTCCTCTTTCGGGCTAGGTAGGGAAATATTCTTACTCCTCATTCGGAGTAGGTAGAGAAATATTCTCAGTCCTCATTCGGGGTAGATAGGGAAATGCTTTTACTCCTCATTCGGGGTAGGTAGGGACATATTCTTACTCCTCATTCGGAGTAGTTAGGGAAATTCTTTTACTCCTCATTCGGGGTAGTTAGGGAAATGTTCTTACTCCTCATTCGGGGTAGGCATGAAAATGTTCTTTCTCCTCATTCGGGGTAGGTAGGGAACAGTTCTTATTCGTCATTCGAGGTTGGTAGGGAAATATTCCTACTCCTCATTCGGGGTAGGTAGGGAAATATTCTTACCCTCATTCGGGGTAGCCATAAAAATGTTCCTCATCCTTATTCGGGTAGGCATGGAAATGTTCTTACTCCTCATTTGGGGTAGGTAGGGAAATATTCTTACCCTCATTCGGGGTAGGTAGGGAAACATTCTTAGTACTCATAGGTAGTACTCCTCATCTGGGGTAGGGTAAAATGTTCTTGCTCCTTATTCGGGAAATGGAAATTCTTACTCCTCATTTGGGGTAGGAAGGTAGCATCTGGGGTAGGTAGGGAAATATTCTTACTCCTCATTCGGGGTAGCCATAAAAATGTTCTTGCTCCTTATTCGGGTAGGCATGGAAATGTTCTTACTCCTCATTTGGGGTAGGAAGGGAAATATTCTTACCCTCATTCGGGGTAGGTAGGGAAATATTCTTAGTACTCATTCGGGGTAGGTAGGGAAATATTCTTACTCCTCATTCGGGGTAGCCATAAAAATGTTCTTGCTCCTTATTCGCGTAGGCATGGAAATGTTCTTACTCCTCATTTGGGGTACGTAGGGAAATATTCTTACCCCTCATTCGGGGTAGGTTAGGACATATTCTTAGTACTCATTCGGGGTAGGTAGGGAAATATTCTTACTCCTCATTCGGGGTAGGCATGAAAATGTTCTTACTCCTTATTCAGGGAAGGCAGTGAAATATTCTTACTCCTCCTTCGGGGTAGGTAAGGACATATTCTTAGTACTCATTCGGAGTAGGTAGGGAAATGTTCTTGCTCCTCATTCGGGGTAGGCATGAAAATGTTCTTTCTCCTCATTCGGGGTAGGAAGGGAAATGTTCTTACTCCTTTCACGGAGTAGGCAGGGAAATGTTCTTACTCCTCATTCGGGGTAGGTAGGGAAATGTTCTTTCTCCTCATTCGGGGTAGGTAGGGAAATGTTCTTTCTCCTCATTCGGAGTAGGTAGGGAAATGTTCTTTCTCCTCATTTGGGGTAGTCATGGAAATATTCTTATTTCTCATTCGGGATAAATAGGGAAATATTCTTACCCCTCATTCGGGGTAGGTAAGGACATATGCTTAGTACTCATTCGGGGTAGGTAGGGAAATATTCTTACTCCTCATTCGGGGTAGGTAAGGACATATTCTTAGTACTCATTCGGAGTAGGCACGAAAATGTTCTTACTCCTCATTTGGGGTAGTTAGGACATATTCCTTATTCGGGTTAGGCATGAAAATGTTCTTACTCCTTTCTCGGGGTAGGAAGGGAAATGTTCTTACTCGTCACAACTAACCCAGCCGCATTTTAATCCTGTTTATTTTTTACACATACTCAGAGGTTACGACAAAATGCATATAGTATAGTGTTATAGTCTAGTATTCTAATAATTTAAACTTCTCTGGAATTTAACACATTTAAATAAAGTGCATCTCATTATCAATTATGGATAAGAAGTATCATAGATACATTAGATGTGCAGATCATTTTCAAGGTCAGTTCCAGGACATATATATGCTCCACCAGGACTTATAAAATACTAGGGCGGTGTGGTAGTCTAGTGGTTAAAGCGTTGGCTCGTCACGCCGAAGACCCGGGTTCGAATCCCCACATGGGTACAATGAGTGAAGCCCATTTCTGGTGTCCCCCGCCGTGATATTGCTAGAATATTGCTAAAAGCGGCGTAAAACCAAACTCAGTCAGTCAGTCAGTCAGTCATTCAGTCAGTATAAAGTACTAACGTCCAATATGCTGTGTCCACAGCATTCTCGCCGGCAGAGGTGATAGAGTGCACTGCAGGCCATGACCTGGTAGGTAAGTATACCCGCCGAGTGGCCTGCAGGCCATGACCTGGTAGGTAAGTATACCCGCCGAGTGGCCTGCAGGCCATGACCTGGTAGGTAAGTATACCCGCCGAGTGGACTGCAGGCCATGACCTGGTAGGTAAGTATACCCGCCGAGTGGCCTGCAGGCCATGACCTGGTAGGTAAGTATACCCGCCGAGTGGTCTGCAGGCCATGACCTGGTAGGTAAGTATACCCGCCGAGTGGTCTGCAGGCCATGACCTGGTAGGTAAGTATACCCGCCGAGTGGCCTGCAGGCCATG